CAAATTTCGGCGAGTTTCTATCGAAATAATCAACTGGAGGGTCAAAGGACATGGGACTTGTTCTATAACTCAATACGAACACGTTTAAGCACTGACGATATGATCGAGGTCTAACCAAACCAAAAATGATTTGAACTCTAGCACAATGTGGAATGAAAAATAAAGAAATTTTACTGAGATTTCAAGTGTGTAATCTTACATGTATTTTTTCCAATCCTTAACAGGTTATAAGAGTTCCAATCCTTAAAGGTTAAAAGAGTTGTTATTTATAAAGTCTGGGTCGACGTGGTTACAGTTGGATTAGTACCATGTGGGCTCATCCTGTTAACTAAAGCCTCATATCACTCTCTGTCACAAATTAATTGCATTGACAAGGGGATAGTCGACCTACGTCTTACGCTAACATTGACATCCATTAATACAAACGTTACATCAATTATTCATATAGATACTCTACACATCCGCTTTGAAGGCAACAAGTGCTTCGATCTAGAGAAAGGACTTCAACTGGCAAGGAAAAGTATTTCAAATGGTAGAGGTTCGGCGTGCCTTGGCCAAAGAAGGAGAGCTTTGACCAAAAGAGATCGACTTTTTCCTTATTTTTAATTTTTTGACTGCCAGTTATCTTGCACATAGTGTCTCTACATGACTTTCACTGAGAGGTTCGGATATAAGACGTAACAATACTTTTCTTAAGTTTTAGATGTACAACAATTAATCATTATCTTGATATTTGAACTATCAGCTGATGAGACAATTCATGTATTGCTACTTGTGATCGAGACTTCTCAACAAAAACTGTAATGTGAAAAAGAAAATGACAAATTTAACATAAATCTTAAATACTATTTAAGACGAAACCAAACATAAAATATACTTAAATTACCGATGTTTTTAACAAGGGTGATCACTCCATACTTTTCTATCCTATAAGCATATCATCCATAAGTTCATTAACAATCATTAATATTTACTTATAATAATAATACTTATTTTCTAACTTTATTTTCCAATGCACCATTTTTCTCAACATTTCATTACATAGCATATTTTTTCTTTGATGAGGGTTTCTTTTCAAATATTGATTAGAATAACACGCTCTAGCACCAATGTTGCTACAACAACGGGTGTTGGGATTAGATGAACTATTCAGTTGGTTTTATCATTTAATGTTACATATATTAGTATTGTAACACCATTATGATAAATTACATTACTCATTCGTAATAAATCGCATCATGCAAAAGTAAAATTAAATAAACACAATTAATATTTGACAACAATTGTCATAAGGAACAATATATGCTAATTAGTGGAAGGTTAGGGTAAAAAAATAATGAAAATAATCCAGAGCAAAAGTAGTAAAAGTTGAGGACTTTCAATGAAATTAAATGAGGTGTATTTATAAGTACAAGGCCCGCCTCTAGAATATAAAACCCAATAAAACCAACATTTTTAAGTCATTGTTTGATCCCTACTTTTCAAAACCTTTTTTTTTTTTTTTTTCAAATTCATTTTGAATCACAAATTTCAAGAGTCTTAAAACTTATATCAATTTTTTAATAACGCATTTTATTAATTTTTATTAAATTTACTAAAATGTAAATTTGTATCCGACCCAAAAAAAGGGGGCTAAGTAGGCCGCGTTAAGCCTGGGCTGCCCAGCCAGCCTTCTACTCCTATAATGTGGCTATCTTGTAGACTTGATTGTGAAAAAATGCAGTTTACTTACAATTTTTTCTTAAAAAAAAAAAAAGTTTATTTATAAATTGCTGTTATGTTTTCCTTTGATTTTCAATATTTTGATTTATGCACCATGGTGCGAGCACACATTCATTAAGCCACCCATACCCATTCACTTTAGTCAAATATTGAGATCGAAAAGGGAGATCACGTCGTGCTAGTCTCTAATATGCCGTGATATAACTCGAAAGCATAGAATCAGTGGGAGTCGAAAGATGGGAGTGAAAATACAGCTACATGATATCATTAATATTTAGGTGAATGCATTTTTAAAAACTCTTTGTTTAAAATAGATTTCATAATAATTGTAGAAGAAAAGTAACACATTTCTGTAGTGCCAGGCACATTTGCTTACATATCAAACTGTGTGCACTCTTCAGTTACACACCAAAAGATAGACCAAGTAGCCTACAAAATATACTTATGTAATCGCAGTATGTAATAAAAGTCCAAACCAACTTAATTTGAAGAGATAATTGCTTATTTCTAAGCAGCCGAAGGAGCAGGAATGTAGGAAACTGCAGGCTCAGGCAAAGAAGCCAAGATTGATGATTTTGAGATAGTCCCTTCTTCTGTAGTCTCTTCAGCCTTAAAATCAAGTGAAGCATCATTATATATATCCCACCATTTCTTCACTAGCATCTTAATGTCTTCTCTCTGCATGTTTGCTTCAACACCGGTATACCTCCATGGCTTCGATCCCTGAATATGGTATTGTTAATCAGATTAGAAACACGTTTTTCAGAAGGATTATGCTACTTTGTCAGATCAATGGTGATAGAAGCAGCGGCAGATTCCTATGTGGTGAAAAATTATTTGATAGAAAAGATGACTGTGTAAAACACAGTCCCATAATAATACGTGTGTTATTATGTCAACTATTATATCAATGATTCTAACACTGTAGCATGTTTGTGTTCGAACGCAGAGTCTGAATATACTGCACACTTTGGTCTACTAAGAAAGTACTTACAGCAGCACAGTAGTGAACAACTTTAACTTTTTTGAGTTCAACGTTCTCTGGGTGTTGCCACAGCATTGCCAGAACCAGGTTGTATATCAGAGGGATAGGCTTGTAGACTTTTTCAAAGAACTTGTTTAAGAAATCCTGTGATTTGTATAAGAAGTTTTTTGTTAAGATAGGAGTTACTTTTAAAATAAGTAAACTTTTACTTAATAAGTCGAACATATATACCTGCTCAGCAAATGGTGTTGGTGGAGTGACTTGGAGAGTTTGAAGCAGATTTTCATAAGTTACTTTGCTAGGCTCATACACAAAAAATCCAGCATTGAAATAGAGTGGAGGAGGGGAACCCAGTTCATCAGCAGGCCAATTAACCTTATTAGGGCACTGTTGGCAGTACCCAATTGAATATTGTTTGGAATGACTCCATGTTTTCTCACAGAAGCAATCCATTACAGCATAGAAATATCCATCTGGGGTGTCCAACAAATGGTCAATGTTTTCATAAACTTGAATGTCTGCATCGACATACACCATTTTGCTGTACTCGACAAACTGTGATTGAATGTACATGAAAAGAAAAATAAAAAAATTATTCATAGTTTTTGTAAGGAAAAATAAATTTGGACAATATAACGATTTTCCACTATAATACACAATTTTCAGAAATTTCTCTAAAATTTTTGGTATGAGTCGTAGTCTGAGGCATAAGAGCTTAAGACAATAAATATTTGTTCAATCGAGCTGGCTATACAGGCCACTCACTCATGCAGGGGTGGGTGAATTTTTTTTATTTTATTTTTTTAAATAATCACCCATCTCGACGGGTTGTTCTTATCCTATCATGATCATACACCTTTTTAAGTTCATGCATGCTATATCCTATATATGGGTTCTTGGATATTTCAAAGCAAATTTACTCTACTGGCCGAATTTTAAAAAAAGACAAAAATAGAAAGATTTTAGTGCAAGATGCATGATTAAGGGTGTCGACGAGTCGGGTCAAGCCAACTCACAAGCCAAAGGTTGTGGCTCATGCACAACCCGATCAAAAAATAAAAAATAAAAAGGCTCAAGCTTTTTTATTGTGAGCCTAATTGAGCCAAAACCCGACCGAAATTTGGAGGTTTAACTCAAGCTTCATTGAGCCGAGCCGGCTCACGAATTTTTTTTAATTCATGAAATATTCATATAAAGAATTCAAACAAGTTCTTCTTCTCAACTAAAATACAATAAAAAAAAATATTCATATAGATACTAGAATATATAAATTAGAGTATAATTTTTAGGTGTATAAATATCATGATATTTACTTGTAGAATAAAAAATATTGGAATAGAAAACGTCTTTTAAGTTTCAACATCACAAGATAACAACAAATATTATATTAACTCTTGCATAACAAAATTTAAAATTTATATGAATAAAACATAAAGGGAATACTAAAGAATATGATAATAAATTATAAGCATAGATGTAGCATAATTATGAATATTAATTTTGTAAGCATATTTATATATAAGTTATACTTTATTGATATAAATCTTAAATTAAATATTAACAAAACAAAAAAAATTGAAGGTTGGCAACAGGTCGGGCCAAGCCTATGACATGGGTCACAGCCCAAGCTAGAGCCAAGTCCCGAAATTTAGGCTTGGCTTGAGCCTTGACTCGATTCTACCAAGTCCCGACCTCAACTGGCTCGATCTTTTTGGGGCTAAGCCAACTGGCTTATTTGTCGTCCCTAGTTGCATGAGAAATACATGCATGTAACTAAAGATTTTTTATTCTTTCTCATAGGTTGCATGACATCATTGAGTATCTTCTTGTTTTTTTATAGATTGCTTAATCAATCTTTATGCATGTAACATCTACAATAAAAGGTGTGATTAATTTAGGAATCTACAATTTTTTATCTAGGGCTCTATAAAGAATAAAAACCTCATGCCTTGGGAGGACATCTAATAGAATTTAACCGATGCACAAAAGAATTGGAACTTTGTACATGCAAGGAAAAAAGACTTACATTCCATATACGCAGTTTGGAGTAGTTGATGACATAGTAAGCCATGGCAAATTGAATTTGATTCTGAGGTGGGTAAATAGGTTCGATTTCTCGAACAATGCAACCTTGAGACCTCAATATTTCTCTATGCTCTTCAGGCACGTCAGGCAAGATTGCAACCACTAGAGGGTAGGCACTCTTAACATTTCTCAAACCCTTAACCAATCCAACCACACCCTTAACATAGTCACCAGTACCTGCTAAAAAAGTCACAAATGCCTTTTTTGAGTCGAGTTTAGGGACCTTACCAGTGGAAGCAAAAACATCAAGAGGTACTTCCGGGGCCATTTTTTGTTTTATTACTGAAGGACTCTGGAGTCACTCGAGGAGAGTTAGAATATGCTAACTAGGAAAACTAAGGATGCCGATTGCCAACTCAACTAACTTGCCTTTGCTCCTGAACTTAAATGGCACTCTTGGCCCTGCTTAAATAGGAGTCAAATGAAATAAAAATGCATGTCAAATGAAATTCAAATAAATAACATTTTATTGTGTGGAGAGAATGAATGAATGAACATTATTTTCGCCTCATCATCTCTAGCCTTATCATCAGATGAAGAAACGGCTCTGATTCAACCGCTTTAAGTCATATTCAATAATAAATTGACATCATTTGAATATATAATATGCAATCTTTTTCTCCCATATTTTATTCTCTTTCTCTTTTTATTACCTAATGTGAAAGGAAAACAAATGAAAATGAAAATATGATGGAGTGGGCGTCATTTTCTTTATCGAATATTTCTAGAATTTAATAGTTGGCTGACAAGGGCATCTATAAAATTAAATTTTCCTTTTTTATTTTTTATTTATTTATATTGCAATGGTCCTAACATGAATTTTTTCTTCCCGAGCTAAATGTACATTGTATGGTACTCGAATTACACGAATTCGGGAAAAAAAAAACAATAATAAAATCAAGAAGATAATCAAAACTCGGGAAGAATTTGTTACACGTATGCATAGTTCGAAAACAAGTCTCCATCTAGTACATTAATACATGACAAAAAATAAATTTACTTTTAAATTATTACTTTAGAAAGTTATAATAAAAAGCTTCAGTTTGTTGATGATTTTGGGCCCCATGGAGTTTACTCCACCCCTTTCCTACAATTTGCAAAGCCTACAAGACAAAAAATGACACTAAACCTTTCAATCTTAAGCACAAACAAGCTAGAGCATGTTTGGCCACGTCGCATGTAACTTTAACTTATAAATATTAGTTTATGCAAAAATAATTTCTTTTTATAATAATGAGTAATTTTTAAGTAAAATCAAACATGCAAATCAATTTCAAGAATGAGAATTGATGACATGATTGTTGAGATGTCGTTTTAATTATACGCATGAGCGGACATTTTTACCCCTAGTCATCCGATTTGAATTAGTCAGTTTGGTCGAATTTCTTTTAAGATTGGTTCGATTTTGAGTTTTAGAATTGGGATACAAATAATTCTGATAATACAAACCAAAATTTGATTTGATTTTGAAAATATTTTTTATGATCTCTCATTAAAACCATAAATTGTATGTGTTTTGGTTTAATTTTTTTTTTTCCCCTTTAGAACCAGTTGTTCCATTTTCACAATAATGAAAATTGATTCGATCCAATTCTCAAGATAATCGAACCAAACTACCCGTTGTCCACTTTGTAGCACGCGTGTGGCACTATTTACTTATATTTTCTCATCAAAGTAGCAAATGATTGAAAGGGAATAAATGATCGACTTATCGCCTTTTTATCATCTTCAGTATCATTCCTATCCTCTTTCACAGCCTCCAAAAACTTTAATTGACCTTTTACAACATGTTTGATAAGCATGTTACTTTTAATATTGTTCAGTCTTTCTTTATCTAAGAAACTGCATTAAAATATATTATTAAAAAAAAAACTCATATTATATTGGAGATGTATAAATGAAAGTCTAGTATATCATAGCTATATATTTAGACGTAGGGATGACAATAAGACGGGGACATGACAGGTTGACAGCCTCCCAATCCCGTCTCACTGGGAATCTTTGGGAAGTCGGACGAAAAATTACATTCCCACGTACCGCGTCTATCTACTTATAATTTATTATTTTTAGAATACGATTTAAATTTGAAAATATGAAGTGGGTGGGGGGGAGAGATTCAGTGCTAATTTGAGATGAGGATCATGAATATCTCATCCACAACACGATTTTCCAATGGGTGGAACCAGAGTATTTTGTAGTCCTGGGAGGCGAATCATGCTGGCTAGAACGACATACTTCATTAATTTTGGAAACAATTGAAAAAATTGTTGCCTTCTCAATCGGCATATGTCGTATAAAGTCTAACTTTTTTGATTGGTCGACGCAACAAAGCGAGCAAAATTCCACAAGTTGTTCCTTCCAAGCTATGAATTAATCTTCTTGGCCAGGGCCACATGGGCCCTGGAGAGACCCCTTGCCAATAGGGGGGGGACACATATGCCCTGGCTATGTAGTAGGATTGTGAGGCTACTATTAGTATCTACTTGTGCAAGTCTGTCCAGATCATTTTCAAAGAACACAATATCTTGTATGAGAAATGTTAGATTCCAGTAAATGAAACTCAAACAAATCAATAGGGAAAAAAAATTATTAAGTTCTAATGTGCATGAACTATTTGTGACTCAATTCTCATTTTGTAGGTTGGCAAAAGTATATATTTTTGAGACGATTTGTCCTTTTACCGACGAGCATATCTGTAACAAGTTAATTGGAGAGTTCATTTAATAATTGCCAAAAACAAAGAATTCTATGCATCCCTCTTTTCACCAAAGAAGAAAGATGGATAAAGTTTACTTGGAATATACACCACCATTTATCAAAGAAGAGTTATTCTACACGTACAGAAGATTAAGTGTACAGAATACACACATCAAGGTTTTTTGACAATAAAATATTCATGTGGGGTCCATTCACTTGTGAGAGTTTGTACACATTCTGTACACTTAATTTTCTGTACACCCAGCATAAATCATCAAAGAAATGTTTAAATAGAAAATATGGGCTAAATTCATTAATGGTCTTCGAAGTTCTTTGTACTTAGTAATCATCTTGGTAACTGAACTTTAACTTGTTTCATACTCATCACTAAACATTAAAATGTTTTCAATCGAATTACTAATTCAATTTGATGTCTATTATTTCTTTTACCTAAGTCGTATACATGCATTCCAACTCATAGATTTAACTGAGAACCCTAACAGTTTGATAACTTGGCAGGAAACTAAAATAACATCTCCGTATTATCAAGGATTATAGAGGCGCGATGGGAACATGATGAAAATTAAAATATCTCGATTCATCATTTTATTATTTATAAACATTATTATTTATTTATTTAAAAAATGAATTGGGACGGGTTTGGGACACTTGAGACCAGACCAGTTAGGAGTGCAGATTTTTTATATCCCTAATAAACATGTATGATTTCAGTTACAAATGAACGTTAAATTGAATTGATGGTCTAAATGAAATATTTAATAGAATTAAATAATAAGTTTAAAACAAATTGAAATTCAATGACAAAAGTAATAGCAAGTACAAAGTTGAGTGACCATTAATAAAATAATGATTTGTCATCATCATCAAGTGTGTGGAAAAGACCAATTTGTGATTCCAATGATGAGCAGAAGAGTTGGAACTTTCATAATAATTTATGAGAAATATATTAAAATAGCAGAATGCCACATGGCTAAGTCTCCATATAGAATCTTATTCGTCTTTGTCTCAAGCAAAAAAGAGAAACCATGCTAAATTATTGTGGTCCTCGACCGCCCATCAAGGGATATACATTAATGTATCTTGATCTTCCACCCTGGATTTTTGTTCTTCTTACCTCTATGTTCAATTACATACTATTAGTTTTTAATTTAGAAAATAAATTATTTGTGGGTAATTTGAGCTAATAGAGAATGATGTTTATAGAAGGATGATTGGGGAGGATGGTTAACAAAAATGGTTTATCAAGTTCAGGTAAAATTACTAATTTTCTGTTGATATTTTAAAAATATTCTTATCTTTTCAATAATCACGTCGTCTTATCTTTCGACCCTTGAGATGATTTGAAGGTTACTACAACGCCATGCTTTCAATACAAAATTTGGAAAGCTATAAGGACGAAAAAAGAGGGTATTTGCCTATGTATCGTTGAGAGCGACTTTTGTAAATCTATTAGGTTCTTCCTCCGACATGCATCACTAGCTAGCAGTGGGGGGCGGAAGATGGGGGAAGGTAAGGGAGGAAAATGTAAAAGAAAAGGGTGGACACATGGGAAAAAATGAATTGTTCATTGACAAAAGATTAGATCAATTTTAATAGAAGGTCCTCTGAATGAGGAAATTTAGATGGATATTACTTTCAGTCAGTACTAATGTTTGCCCTTTTTTATGAGAAAGATATGCAATAGTTCATATTTTAATTGTGGTGCGTTTTGTTGAGTACACATTCGTGGACCAAATCATGCAACAACAATTGAAGCAATTATTTTAATTTATAAAAAAAAAAAAGAAAAAAAAAGGAGGTGTCCATAATGAACGAGGAAATAGAATTGGACCATTTAGGTTGGAAAAATTACATTTTCGAGATTAATAATTAATTCAGTTTTATTCTCAATAAATTTGAAATTAATTAAGCGAATTTTATTTATTTTTTATTCCAATGGCTTATTACTATGTGATTTACTGTCGCGTGAAGTTTAAGAAAAAAAAAACATGAAAAGAATTTAAATGTAGTGTTACTTTTTATTAGGGGTTTGAAATGGACTATTAAAAAAAGTTAGCAAGAAATAAAACAAATAAATGTGGTGTGGGAGGTTAATTTCGAAATTGTGATGGGAGAATACTTTGCATGTGTGTACAAAAAGCAAAGCAGTCGCTTAGCCTTATAAATCATGAGGAGGTGGTAGGATCCAATTTTAAGTGGATTCTAATATTTTGCTAACTTACGTGAAAGAAAGTGAGAGTACTATAATGATTGTAACTAAATAAATTTATTTCAAAGAAAGAGACAGACAAACGAGTGAAGATAAAAGAGAGAATAACTTTACAAAAATAAAAATAAAATAAAATATAGCGCAAGTGGTGTTGAACACCTATTTGTTTAGGTATCAGTATTTCATGTCCTAATAAATGAGACATAAATCCTTATATTTAGTTAAACCTATAATTTAATAACATAAATGCGATCACCTATACCAATGTTAAACGCTAGTGATAATTAATTCTTAAGTCACATAATTTAATTGAACCTATAAATTACTTACTCGCAAATTGTCAATTTAAGTCCTCTCTCTTTCTCTTATTAGGATTTCCAAGTTTACCATCACAAAAATAGTTCTAATTGGCCAATCATTCAATTAATTTGCAATTTAATTATATTATTAAATAGAGATAAATTTCCATTTCTTGATTACATCTTGTTTTTATCTCTCTTTTTCTTTTTTTCATAAAGAGATGAAAATATTTTCCAGATACAAACTTGAAAACAAAATGGTCTCATTACAGACATAATTTTCTTGCTTGTTTTGTTCAAATCATTACTTATTACTGTACATGGAAAATGTCGAAGCCTTGTTAAATTATTTCTATAATCGAATGAGCCAAATCCAACTCCGAATTGAGTAACATGAAATTTTGACACGACAAATTAACCGAATAAGCTAGATCCATGGTTAAATTCAACAATTAATTGTCAATCACATTTTTCGCAGTAGAAGTTCGAGAACACAAGCGATGGGAATGAAATTTCCAATAACATATATATAGTAAAACATTAAAAAGGAGATTAAAGAAAAAAAATTTTAATTAAAATCACAAAAGGTTTTCATAGCATTATATAACTACAACATATGTTTGCAATCATGTAAAACGAAGCTCTGTCATATAGCGCAAGTAGTCCTAAACAAAAACGAAAAGACTCGAAAAGTAAAACTCATAAACACACAAACTATAGGTATAAGACTAGATACGATCCAGCTCGCATCCGGCAATGCATCAACTCACAATTTATGCCTGCAAGAATGGAGGACTGTAAGAAACTGAAACAGCTGCAAATGCAGAAAACATATCAAGACACTACCCCATGAACACATCTCAAGTACTTGCCTTGTTAGCAATGTTGTTAGAGAGCCAGTCAAGACCCTCATAAAGCCCCTCTCCTGATGTAGCACAAGTGCTCTGGATGTACCTGGAATCAAGCGAAACCAAGGTAAAAAATAATAAACAGCATCTAGATGTAAAGACCAATAAAGAACTAAGATTTAAGAATGTAGCATTTACCAGTGACGCTGCCTCAGTGAGTGCAGGCCGAGCTTGTCAGTTATCTCAGCTGCATTCATTGCATTGGGAAGATCTTGTTTGTTCGCAAATACAAGTAATACAGCATCTCTCAGCTCATCCTGATGCAAGGGGCATGAATCCAACATGTCAAAATAATCATTTTATGTCTAGCAAGTTTAATGCATAATAGCATCAGAAATGGCTGGCAAAAGCATCAGTCAAGAAGTGTAATACTTAGGGGGTACGAGATTCAAGAATTTCACGTCTACTAGTTCAGCTCTCTGTACAGTTTGCTCACACTTGCAGGTATTCTTCTAACTTTTGAACCAAAGAGTCACTTTTACATAAAAGGGAGCTCTAAATAAAATTTCCTTGAGTCGCTTAAGGGATACTAGGTGGTGAGGATTTTAAGGAATGAGAGATTGGGTCGAAGACTATTATGATTAAATAAGTATTTAGGAAACCAATGTTAGATTTGATATTTTGATAAAGTTGCAGTTAGCTACAAATTCTACTAGATTTAAATTATCTATCCTACAAAAAAGAACCTACAATTTCAATTATACGCAGACTATCATGATTCTTTTTATTCTTCCCTCATTTTTTCCTTTCTTCTTCCTTATTTCTCTGTGTTATGTTCTGCATCACTACAACAATCAATTATATTTGCTCTAATTTTCTAACTACCATTGTCCCTTGACAACTAAGTCTCCGCAAAGAAACTACAAGCTATTGTGTGTTCCATTACCCCACAGGCATGGAAATTGTTAAGTACCCTTCTCAATTAATGTGTTAAGCAGCTAAAAAACCTTCTGAAGATACCTCTTAGTTTTGTACCTTTTGTTTTGATAAGATACTTAAAATGGTCAGAGTGATCTCTTTAAGTTATCCCAATGTACATAAACTCGTAAGTCACACAAATCTTGTTAATCCACCTCCATCATGCAGTATATTGAATATTATAGATATAATTCCCTAAAACAAGATTCTATAGAGGAATTTGTTCTAAAGATGAGTCTCTCATATCCTCTTTCTGTGAAACTACTAATGGGCATGAAATTGTAGAAATTCTCTAGAGAAGATACTTGATGAAGCAAACTGAATATAGACAGATAACGGATATGTCTCCGGAATCCATTTAAAATATTCTTCAGTATCATTGATACAACCCCCAAATACATATCATACGTTAAATTCTTTAATTCCTATTCTCAAGCAATAGTACAAGTATTATATGCCCAGGGTTTTCACAAAATGAGCTTCACGTCTTAAAGAGTTAAAGTATCGCATCAACGAAGTCAAGATAGGAAATTTGACCTCATTCAACATCCTGTGCAATTCATCCCTTGCCTCCACAACACGATCCCTGTCATTGCTGTCCACCACAAATATGAGCCCCTGGGTGTTTTGGAAGTAGTGCCTCCACAATGGACGGATCTGTTGAATTAAGTGGCTAACTTAGTTAATCAGTGCATGCAAGGTACTTCCACGAAGGAATGTAAATGGTTCTTCCATGCTCAGAATGATAGAATCACAGATATAGATGACAGAAAGCCCTTTGAGTTAAAAATTAAACATAGAGTCAACTTCATTTATAGAAATTCACAACATAGTTATAGATTGATCATAGAAGAGGATCAACAAAAGTTCCCACCTTGTCTTGACCACCGACATCCCAAACCGTGAAGCTGATGTTCTTGTACTCAACAGTCTCCACGTTAAAACCTGCATATGAATAGTAAACCTCAAAAGAGTAAATATCAGAAAACAGTTCATAGAAATCGAAAGAAGAACAAGAGATTAACTTTTTCTTTACCGAATATAAACATGGGATATCTAAGACAAGATAACAATAATTGAAAGAAACAAGGTTGCTGAGTTTGCAAGAATAAGAGGCATACCAATGGTAGGAATAGTAGTTACGATCTCTCCGAGCTTAAGCTTGTACAGTATTGTAGTCTTACCAGCAGCATCAAGACCAACCATCAGAATGCGCATTTCCTTCTTGGCAAAAAGACGGCTGAATAGCTTTGTGAATGTCAGCCCCATTTCTTTTTCTAGCTTTTGATCCCTACATATATAGCGAGGCGCCTCATAAGATTAATATAAATCAATACATCTGTGTTTATGATTCATAGGAGTAAATTCATGTACATGAGGGAAGAAAGAACTTCTAACAGAACAAAACTGTGATTAGGTAAATTGAAATTTCTTTATAATAGGCACAATCAATATAATGGTCCACTGTGTGATAATCTCGATTTCTTATTTTCTCTTTTGAGCTATTCATACTATGCCATAATTAACATGCTAACAGATACACAATCATATACGTCTATTCATGCTTCTAAGAGCCTACACCATAATCATCCTCACATGCAGAGCACTGCACCAAATAACCTCAAATGGAGACAAAACCAGGTTTACATCTATGATCATTTTCATGTAGCCTTGTATAAACAGCTATGATTGATCGTACACATGCATGACCATTGTCATTGAGCAAATGAGAACACACGTAAATGAAGTTATATGATAGAAGAAATTAAAAGATTACAAGGTGCACATAAAGTGGAATTCATGCGGATATGGCATGGAGCATTGTTCATGTTCAGTAGCCGTTTGTTTAAATGCAGACATTAATCCACTAAATATACAGAATGTAACCATACCCACAAGCAAGCAGATAATCTCAAATAACATTTTAGAATTTGCCTAAAAATGTATAACTTTTAGAGTTATAAGTCAACTATTGTAATAAAGCATTAGTAGATAGAATAGATCCACTACAAAAAATCATTTAATCAATGTAAAATACAATCACGCCAAATGCCTACAACATTTTCATAAGAAAAAAATTAGAATCTTAGATACTCGGAATCTTTGTTTCCGAATCTAACACACACGAGTACATGACTAATCACAATAAAATTCCACCAGATCGAAATGTTTCGCAGCGAAATCTGTAGATCAGATAACACCACACAAAATAAATAAATAATCCAGAAACAACAATAATGCATTCCTAAATCCGTCAAATGTTAGCTCGAAAAGAATCAAATACTGCCTTCTCATAAAAATCACGTTCAATTAAAAAAATACAAAATTAATTCAATAAACGCGACGAAAAATCAAGAATAAAATATACCTATTTAGAAATCGCTCACCAGAAAACTCAAATCAAAACACAATTAAATCAAAGTACTTTCTCGCGTATACGTGTACGTTGTTGTGCATATATAAATGCGTTTATTTGAAGTGATGCACCTGAGAGATGGATCTGGTGAGAGAGGCAGTGAGTGAGCTGCCTGAGATTAGCGCGAGAGATTAATAACTTTTTCAGGAGGATGAAAATTGTAAGGAGCGGTTTATTACGCTATTAACGACTTTGTTATTTGTTTAATGTCCAGATTGCCATTCATTACCCACTGGAATAACAAGAATGCCCTATTTGTAAATTACGGTGCTTATTGCATACCCATACCGCTGGATATTGTCTGTACTTGAGTGGTTGGGGAATTTTCGGCTGTTGACTTCGCTGGCTACAGGCAGGCGAGTGAAATGTTGAGGGAATTTCTCTACGTTGGTTTAAAATGGCAGTTTTGCTATAATTACATAAAGTTTCACAAATTTTTTTTCAGATGTAAGGTGTTAATATTGCATTGAAAATTTCTGGTTGTATAGAATTTTTCCCTCTGAAGAATCTCGTGTGAGTTTTATATTAAAAAAATGTGATTCCACCTATAAAATGTGTGTGATTTGTAAATTTTCTAGCAAACTGTTTTGTGTACATGTAGTGCAGCTGTATTGCATTAGTCTGTTTTAATCTATATTTTTTCATCATACAATACAAGGAAGTCATCTCTCTTTTCCGTGAAATTTCCTTGTGAAACATCCCTTTACCTATGCCATTTTTCTTAAAATGGTGTGCATAAGTTAGAGGAATGAGGTGCTGCCACGTGTTGATTATAAATTTATTATAATCAATATTTTTTGGGAGCAACTACTTACGATCCATCATTCTTATATATCTATCTTATTCTATATCAATCCTTACTAAAAGTTTATTTTTTTTTAAAAATATCATTTTCATTCACGTCATATTTCAATTTTATTTTTATTAAATTCATTTATTTACACCCATACAAATTTTATATATATTATCTCACTCTAAACCCCTGTTTGATGGAGATTAAAATTAAATTTTTAGTAAATTTTGATAAAAGTTAATTAAATGTGTGGTTGAAAAGTTGTAGATATCGTAAAATGTGTAGTTAAAATTAATTGTTGACTTTGATTTAAATTAAAATCCGAATTTTAATTTTCACCAAACATGAGCTAAATATATTCTTATTGTAGTTTCGAAATTTGAAAAAGAACTGTATTCATCCCATTATGTGATCCTAGGATCCAAACCTACTTCCATAATTCCTTCTTCAAGGATAATCCCTTCTGTAGGGGTATCTACCATCTCAACATCTCTCCCTTATGTAGGGGTGAACCTTCTACAGGTGCGTCGCGCATTTTGGTGTTTATCAGAACCATATTCATGCTTTGGGGCTCAGACTTTTGTAAGGAGTCGAGGTAGCATTTTCTTGAACTCATCCAATCACCCCGAACAGTGGTGATACCTTGATCAGTGAGAAACTTCATGCATAAGTTGTGGATAAATGTGACAGCACAGAGTTCTTTCAATGCAGGTCGCCCCAACACTATGATAAGCAAACCCGTGATCCACAATGAGAAAATCCATGAAATGATTAGCCGCAAAGGGAGGTACTCCCATTTTCACGGCTAATGTAATCCTCCCCCTAGGAATGACGCTATCGCCAGTAAATGAGTTCATGACTTTGTCAAAATCTTATCATAACTGATTCCAAATAGATTGTTAATGGATCTTTTATTATCCACCAACATTCGATTCAAACCATTCCTTGCCACAATCGCTCGTACCACTAAGGTATCCATAATGAACACCAACAGCTTACCAACAATGTCTTCCTATGTAAAGCTTTTTGGTAGAGTGGTGCCGATCCCCATGAGGGAGTTATTGACTAGATAACTTGTCAAAGAAGGATCCTTGGCTTCCCTGGCATAATTTCTTTGAGCGTTTATTGACTTCCCTTCAACATGTGGGCCCTAATTATTGTATCAAGCTTCATAATAGGGTCGCTTTCTGCATCCGCGTAGGGTTCTCTTCTTTGTCTTTGGGCACATCTAAGCATACCGTTATTTTTGTCACTCCTTTGTCTAGGCGATTGGTCCCTATGATGACGCCTTGCCTCTTTGCGTGTAGGCTCCTGATCTTGCCTGGTTTGAAGTGCATTTATTTGGCCTCGGAGTGTGTTCCTTCTATCGGTGTACGAGCCTATATGCTTTGTATGATATGGCTTGGACATGTAGTTGTTTGTACAATGGCTATAAGTTCGGTGGTTAGTGGAGTATGGTTTATTTCTAGGCTCGTTACTCCTTCATTTGCCTTTGCCTTGTTGGTTGGTTCGACGATCTATGAGCATTAAGGCCAAACTCGGCTCTACCTACGAGCCACAAGTTCGTGGATAATGGGGTTGAGCTGGCTCGATCCGACCCATTGCTACCTTTGCTAGCAGTACAAGTACTTTCAAAATAATTTAAATTAACAATTTCAAATCAATTGAAATAAGATTTAAATTTGTTATTAATGTAACCATTTCTCTCTATTCATCGAGTCATATTCTTTAGGTAGTGGGACAAGTAAGTTTTTCAATGTGGTCCGCATGGACAAATCTACTTTAGGGACAACGAAGTCAGCTATCCCACACTCAATTTCAAATTTTTGGTCAACAAACTAAATAAATTTAGTAAAGTGATTTTGTCCTTGCAATTAAAATTTTGTAATTCAAAACGTTATGGCCAAAGGATAATATAGCATTTTGATAATGATAAAAATTTTCAGTACTTGTACCATCACTTTTCTCCTCCCCAACTTTTCACCTTCCAAGGCTTCCATTGTATTCTTTCTTTTTGCCCTCTCAGATATTGGGTAAACTGCAAAATAAGAAAAGAAAAAAAGTTTTGAACTTTGAAGAATAAACAAAACTATGAGAAGATAAACTTATGGAATTTGAAGTTTGAAAAAAGAATAGGGTATCGAGAAAATTTTGGTGACAGTGAATTTACTTTTTCTTTTTCTTTTGCTAAATTAAAGGATAACTTTTTTTGAGTCGAAAAATAATTGAGTTTTTGGGGTTTTCAATTTTAGGGTTTCTTTTTGCTTAAAATGCAGATTTTTGTATTTATTCTTTTGTCACTTAATTTGCTTCCACAACTCTACAATCCTAGCTCTACCCCTGATGGTCAGCTTTCATATTTTTGGTGGTCATAATGTGATTTATGGCAATACTCTTGGAAATTGTGTTCGACATCTAAGAGTTACAATATTTACATTAATGATTACAAATAGAAAATAAAATAGCGACAATTTTTAAGATATTATTATTTGAATGTACTTTGTTCAACATAACGAGAGGTTGGGTAAATCTATTTTCTAGTAAAGAAAATTACAATAAAATATTTGATGAGATGAACTAGATATTATTAAATAACATTATAGTATTATTATTATTTTATTCTTATTAAACTTTTGCACATGCACAAGGAATGTTTGAGTCCGAATGTATAATCATCCCAAAGTGTTTTCAGACTGAATGCATGTATTCGTAACTCGCAAATAACTTAGTGTAACATGATAAATTCATCGAGAGGAATCGTTTTTCCTATATATTTTTTTTCAATGTAAATACGAGTATGGTTTAGAAAAAAAAGTAGTTCACATTATTTATTCGTTCCTGACGTTATTCATGATCCTAACCCATTGTTTGTTCAAGAAAGGTCGTAATTAATTGGAGTTTGTATATCGCGTGAATCACTAGGCCTGAGTTACTAGGGTCTTAAAAAGGGACATTAGTAATTGATCAATATAATAATTGAGTAGATAACCTAAAAAACTATTTAGGATTTAGTGAGACAATGTGCGCGCTATAGTGAGACAATGTGTCGATTCACATGAGCCTCACAGGCCCCTTACTGTAGGGGTCGGGCTCCACAAGCATTAAGAAAAGGTGGAGCCCGCCCCCCACATCCTCTCTCACTTGGGTCACAAGTTCCTGTATTTGCATCTTTTTCTAATTATTTATTTCTAATTATTTATTATACAATAAAAAATGAAATTCTAAGAGACTTAGGTGTCTATGATCTGTCTAAGGTCACATCAGAATAGGAAAACTGTAAGAGAAGTGATTGTGATGTATTTCGCATCTTTAGTGAAAGTCCCACAAATTTCAAATTGCACTTCACATTTCAAAATTTTATTTTATTTTTAGACATAATGATTATCCGTTCTCCGCAACTAGAAGTCAAAATTTATAATTTTATTATTATTATTATTATTTTGAATTAAATTTAAGATACCTCGATTACGAAGACAACAAAAAATTCCCGTATGATCAAATATTTTTGAAGAAGACTAAGGTAGCCAAAAGAAATTTAGATTTTTGTTGTTTAATTTTAGGGGAAACCTGAATCGAATTAAGCAACGAAAAAAACATATATCTTTAACTTTACACAATTATATATTTGAATATAAAGAAGTTCAAATATTAAACCCTGGTCAATGTTATCTTCCTTTTAAATATCTTTTGACATATTTTATTGGGAATACTTGATATTGTAGTAAGCATCATGAAGAAAAAAATAGTTAAAATATTCATTATATCGATTAATTATTTTTAATACTACGTGCAAATATCTGAGAGGATATATGATTCATCTTTTGCATGCGGTTGGGTATTTTCAATTGTTTAACCACTCAAACATATTTTCTTGCACCTTTACATATTATATAATATTTATAATAAGATTCCACAAACATAGAATGACTTTTGAAATTAAATAATGATTTTTTATATATCTCCGTGAGATGTAATCCATTAAGGTTTATATTTTAATAAGTAATTTTATACTAAAATATTCATCATGTTTCATGCTGATGAAGCAAGTGGTGAAAGGATCATGGAAAAATGATATTAGCCTTGGGTAATGAATTAGTGTCCAAATTAACCTAACCTAGCCAAACCTAACTTGTAATAGAAAGATTAAGAAAATCATTTAAATAGGATCATTACAATATCAAGATACTCAATAATGTAAACATACTCACCAATCCTCAAAATGTGTAAAATCATCTTTATATTAATTCTAGACGCATGACTTCGATTTGTGAACATACCTATTAAACATGAATACAAGCCTAAAGCAACTGTTGACCCCGCAAATTGGATCCTCCACGTGATTAATCGAAAGCTAATCCATGTGTTTCTTTCTGTGCGC